GCAAGGAAATTACAAGCACATGAAATAAATGGTAGAATACTAGAAAGAATAAAGCAATAGTTAAAACAAAGGAAACAACGGGTCGTGCTAAGCTGAATGAATCTAACTTGAGCAATATGGTGAGGTGCCACAGGGCTCATTTTGGGGCAGAACATTTTTGTTATACATCAATGACATAGATTATTACAAACATTACATATTATGACATATTACAAATCACTTCATCAAATTTGCAGAGGAGACCAAAATTTATGGCAAAACAAGGATATTGTGGCCTTACAAAGACAGCTGCATGAACTCCACAAATGGTTGGAAGACTGGCAAAAGCTTTTTAATAAAAAAAAATGCAAGACTTTGCAGTTGAGGCGTAAAACTGCGCATCACACACACACACACACACACACACACACACACACACACACACACACACACACACACACACACACACACACACACCTACAAATTATCAACATTACCTTGCAGCAGATGAAAGAAAAGGACCTTCGAGTCAGAATTCACCACTCGCTGAAAGTTGCACAAGTGGAAGCTGCAGAAAAAAGCCAACCAAACCCTACGAATAGTCAAACGATCCTTCGACGTTTGTAGAAAAGAATAGTAGTTATTCAGGTGTATAAATCTCTGGCGGGCCCCACTTGGATTATATCCCAGCACGCAGACCTCTTGTTCAGAAGGACCCATCTGCTTTGCAGAAAGTTCAACACCAGGCAACATAAATCCTTCCAGAACTAAGTCGACTCTCATACCACGACGGTTGAGGGCCACAGGGCTAACAACACTGTAAACCTGGCATGACAGGTCGGATCTCATCGAAATTTAAAACGATATTGAACAATTTAGAGGACGTTGATCCAGACAACTTCTTCAAACGGTCAGATGTAACACAAACAAGGAGCAATGTAGAACAGAAAACAGGAGATGTTTCTTCACCCACAGGCCTATAAACCCATGGAACCGCCTACCTGCCGAAGCCGTAAATGCCAAAACACTGCTGAACTTTAAAACCCAGCTCGATAAATTCATCAGAACAATTGGAGAAACCTTTGATAATGCGCCGGCTTCCTGTCCTCGTCTAGGCCAGTATCTAGCAGCCCCTCGTGTAAATTCAGGTAAATCCAAGCCCAAAACTTCGACCAATCTAACTGGCCCCCAAATACAGCAAGGAGCGTGAGACAATTACAACTATGACGAGAAATGCTTTAAATAGGCTAACAGCCAGTAGTGCCTAGGTGACGGGCTGCCCTCACTACCACCACCACCACCAAGGTGACGGGCTGCCACCACTACCACCACCAAGGTGACGGGCCGCCCTCACCACCACCACCACCTGTGAGAGAGACAGCAGGAGTAGGTGAGGGGGAACACACAGGCAAGGAAGGCTAGAGGGTGAGTGATGACGTCAGGCGGGAGCGGGCTACGACTGGACAGTGACGGCCAATAAGCTACTAGTTACGTCACACGCGGAAAGGGTAGTGAGCAGTGAGTGTGGAGGCGCAGCTGGAGGCCTGCACGCCACATCTACCTTTAATGTCGCGCCCCCTTCTCACCTACTACCTCCCCACCTCCCACCCTCAGTGTTACGTCACCACCCCCCCCCACTCACCCATGTCCAGCTACCCCTCAGAAAACGTAGGTGGAGGTGGGTGTAGTGAGGTAGTGGGTGGAGGTGCTGAGAGCTGGCTGTTCAATCAATGGGGGAGAGAGAGAGGCGGCACTGGAGCAGTGGTAAGGTTGGCTGGACTGTTGTGGCAGTCATCACAGTGCCGCCTCTGTTGCTGTGGCAGGCATCGCAGTGCCGCCTCTGTTGCTGTGGCAGGCATCACAGTGCCGCCTCTGTTGCTGTGGCAGGCATCACAGTGCTCCCTCTGTTGCTGTGGCAGGCATCACAGTGCCGCCACTGTTGCTGTGGCAGGCATCACAGTGCTCCCTCTGTTGCTGTGGCAGGCATCACAGTGCCACCACTGTTGCTGTGGCAGGCATCACAGTGCTCCCTCTGTTGCTGTGGCAGGCATCACAGTGCTCCCTCTGTTGCTGTGGCAGGCATCACAGTGCTCCCTCTGTTGCTGTGGCAGGCATCACAGTGCTCCCTCTGTTGCTGTGGCAGGCATCACAGTGCTCCCTCTGTTGCTGTGGCAGGCATCAGAGTGCTCCCTCTGTTGCTGTGGCAGGCATCACAGTGCTCCCTCTGTTGCTGTGGCAGGCATCACAGTGCTCCCTCTGTTGCTGTGGCAGGCATCACAGTGCTCCCTCTGTTGCTGTGGCAGGCATCACAGTGCTCCCTCTGTTGCTGTGGCAGGCATCACAGTGCTCCCTCTGTTGCTGTGGCAGGCATCACAGTGCTCCCTCTGTTGCTGTGGCAAGCATCACAGTGCCACCTCTGTTGCTATGGCAATGACCCACTCACATTGCATGTTACATAATGGCACCCCCCCTCTTATGTCAACTTTGTCGAAGGTCATTTTTTTAGGTCCAGATAGATGCAGTCAACCCAATCATCTCTTTCCTGTTAAATCTCTGTGGCTCCACCATAGAAACTGAGTAAATTCGTTACACAGGATCTTCCAGATCGAAAACCATACTGTCTGTCTGATATTATATCGTTTGTCTCCAGGTGTTCTACCCATTTATTTTTAATTATTGTCCAATATTTTGACTATTACACTTGTCAATGATACAGGTATATAGTTGAGGGGGCGTCTTCCCTGCTGCCACTCTTGTAGACTGGAACTATGTTAGCCTTTATCCGCCCGTCTGCTACGACTCCTCTACACAGGGATGCCTGAAAAATCAGTTGAAGATTCTGCTGTGTTGATTCCAACACTTGCTACTGCTCGAAGCACGATTCTGCTTCCCACACCTGTGTAAAGCTACAGGTGTGGGAGCTTACCTAAACTCATCTATTTGTGCTTGCAGGGGTTGAGCTTTAGCTCTTTGGTTCCGCCTGTCAACTGTCAATCAACTACTAATGTACAGGTTCCTGAGCCTACTGAGCTCTATCATATCTACACTTGAAACTGTGTATGGAGTCAGCCTCCACCACATCACTTCCTAATGCATTCCATTTGTCAACCACTCTGACACTAAAAAAGTTCTTTCTAATATCTCTGTGGCTCATTTGGGTACTCAATTTCCACCTGTGTCCCCTCTAGTGCGTGTGCCTCTTGTGTTAAGTAGCATATCCTATCATTAGTTTGAGAATCTTATATGTGATGATCATGTCCCCCCCCTAACTCTTCTGTCTTCCAGCGACGTGAGGTTTAACTCCCGTAGTTCGTGTCAGCAAGGCGGACAGCCCGCCTACTGTCATACTCACTGCATTCCCACTTCTAAAACTTCCCTTCACCTATGCCTCTCTTTCCTCTTTACTCTAAAAAAAAAAAAAAAAAAAAAAAAAAAAAAAAAAAAAAAAAAACTCCCGTAGTCTCTCCTCGTAGCTCATACCTCTCGGCTCGGGTACTAGTCTGGTGGCAAACCTTTGAACCTTTTCCAGTTTTGTCTTATGCTTGACTAGATATGGACTCCATGCTGGAGCCGCATACTCCAGGATTGGTCTGACATATGTGGTATATAATGTTCTGAAAGATTCCTTACACAGGTTTCTAAAGGCCGTTCTTATGTTAGCCAACCTGGCAGATGCCGCTGATGTTATCCTCTTGATATGAGCTTCAGGGGACAGGTCTGGCGTGATATCAACCCCCAGGTCTTTCTTTCTCTCTGACTAAGTATTTCATCTTCCAAATGGTATCTTGTATCTGGTCTTCTGCTTCCTACCCCATATATCCATTACATTACATTTGCTTGGGTTGAGCCCTAACAACCATTTGTTCGACCATTCCTGCAGCTTGTCCAGGTCTTCTTGAAGCTTCAAGCGGTCCTCCTCTGTCTTAATCCTTCTCATAATTTTGGCGTCATCAGCAAACATTGAGTGGAACGAGTCTATGCCCTCTGGGAAATCATTTACATATATCAGAAACTGGATAGGTCCAAGTACAGAGCCCTGTGGGACTCCACTGGTGACTTCGCGGCAATCTGAGGTCTCACCCCTCACTGTAACTCTCTGCTTCCTATTGCTTAGGTACTCCCTTATCCACTGGAGCGCCCTACCAGTTACTCCTGCCTGTTTCTCCAGCTTATGCATCAACCTTTTATGAGGTACTGTGTCAAAGGCTTTCCGACAATCCAAAAAAAAGGCAGTATGCCTATCCTTCTCTTTCTTGCTTAATCTTTGTCACCTGATCGTAGAATTCTATTAAGCCAGTCAGGCAAGATTTACCCTCCCTGAACCCATGTTGGATGGGTTGTCACGAAGTCCCTTCTCTCCAGATGTGTTACTAGGTTTTTTCTCACGATCTTCTCCATCACCTTGCATGTATACAAGGACACTGGCCTGTAGTTCAGTGCCTCTTGCCTGTCACCCTTTTTGTATATTGGGACTACATTAGCAGTCTTCCATATTTCTGGTAGGCTTCCCGTCTCCAGTGACCTACTATACACTATGGAGTGAGTGTGTGTGTGTGTGTGTGTAGGATATGTGGAAGCTGGTCAGAATTGCATTTCACCTTTGTAAACGCACATTAATCACACAATATATAAAGACACCTCGAACACAGTTTATGTAGGACAGACGTAAATCTTGTGTATTTATGTTTGTAGGTTAGATTCACATTTTAAAAGCACTACAATCACCGTCTGTGGTTGATTGTTCAATAAATCACAGGGTTTGATCTCTAACCCTATCCATGGAGGACAGAAAAAAATGTATATATGCTGGTTAGTATTGTAAATATGTGACCACCTCTGTGGCAGACAAAAAGGCCCCCACCCCAACCCACCTCTCCCCATCCCCCAACAGCCCACTTCTTCCCAGCCCCCCTTTCCCTGCCCACCTTTTAGCCTCTCCCCAGCCCCCACCCCCACCTTAGCCTCTCCCCAGCCCCCCCACCCCCACCTCCCCCCCCCCCCTGCCCATCTACCATACTCACATAGTGACGTGTCTGCTCCCGGCCTCTCACCTGCAACAAAGAAAACACTTGTCAGAATCAAATGTCCAAACCACTGATGGTGTAACTAATGTGGCTAAGGACCACTGGTGGTGTGGTCAAGGTGTGTGCCACAGCGACACCTGGGGCCAGACTCTTGACAGGTAACTGCCAGAGTTGGCACTTGAGGGAAGCGTGTTGTAGACCTGCAGGCAGCGAGAGGGGTTCTAATGCCTCGGCCAAGCGCAGTATGACCAACATGCCTGGTCATGTGTGTCGAGGAGCCTTAGTGAAGGAAGTGGTCACCGGAGTATCTCGTAGTTGTCACCTTTACTAAACACTGAGTAAGAGGGGAAATATTCATAGAAGGGTCATGACCTCTGGAGGCCCTTAAGGCCACACTGTTGCCACTACACACTCTGCTACACATCACTAGAGTGTACACCGTCGTACTGTGTGTCCCTGAGTGTACCTGGTGTAGGTACTGGGAGCACTTCTACTCCCTAACTAGAAGTGCTCTGTGTGAATGATTGCACCTGGTAACACCAAGTACCGGTCTGGGTACACAACCTGTCCTCTCGCCTAATGTAAGTTTAGATTTAGGAAAGACTTGGGTAAATACTGGTTCGGTAACAGGGTTGTTGATTTGTGGAACCAATTACCGCGTAACGTGGTGGAGGTGGGGTCCCTCGATTGTTTCAAGCGTGGGTTGGACATGTTTATGAGTGGGATTGGGTGGTTATATAGGAGCTGCCTCGTATGGGCCAATAGGCCTTCTGCAGTTACATTGTTCTTATATACCTGGAGCATACCTGGAGAGGGGTCTCAGTTATTTAACTCCCAGAACCCGGCCTGAAACTCAACGTGTGATAACTTGGTCAAACAGGCTGTTGCTTGGAGCGGCCCGCAGGCCCCCTAATCCACTACAGTCTGGTTGGTTCGGCACGTCTTGAAAGAACTTATCTAAGTGTCTCTTGAATACATCCACCTTAGTTCCAGCAATATTTATAATGCTTGCTGGGAGGGTGTTGAACAACTGTGGACCTCTGATGTTCAGAAAGTGCTCTCTGACTGTGCCTATGGCACTTCTACTCTTCACTGGTTCTATTCTGCATTTAATTCCGTATCTTTGGCTGCAGTATGTTGTAATTCTACTGAGCAAATTTGGGATTTGGCCTTCAAGTATCTTCCATATATATATTATTTGATACGTCTCTCGTCTCCTTTCCAGAGTGTACATTTTGAGAGCTTTGAGACGGTCCCAATAATTTACATGTTTTATCGTTTCTACGCGTGCTGTATAAATTCTCTGTATTCCCTCTAATTCAGAGATCTCTTCTGCTCTGAAAGGGAAAATTAGTACTGAGCAATATTCAAGACGGGGCAAATAAATATCAAATAAGCACCAGTGATTTAAATAAAGAAGATCATTGCTGTGGGGTCTCTAGATGTGAACGTTGTCATAACCCATCCTATCAGTGTCCTGGCCGCCGCCGCCGCTGTATTTGCTGGGTTATGTTCACTAAATGTCGGGTCGTCAGACATCATAATTCCCAGATTTTTACGTGTTACTTTCCTGCTATGACTGTGTCTGACTGTGTCCTGTAACCTGTGCTTCGTTTAACATCCTCGTTTTCACCATACCTAAGTACCTGGAACTTGTCACCGTAAATGCATCCATTTTGAAGGCAACTGATCAATCCGTATCATTTCCAACATTGTAATAAAATGTCAAGCACCGTAATATGGACGTGGTCACAGCACCCGCCTGGAAAAGTTGGGTGGGTTGCTTGTGGTCCGACGCTTATGGTTAGCAAACGTCGCATTTTTGACAGTGTCAAGTAATGAGAGCGGGCACGCTGGGCACGTGTTGGGTAGATGTGGCAGGTGTGGCACCCAGCCAGGGTAACCCTCGCTGCCACACCCACCACCTGAGGTCCCTCAGTACTGGCGGCTATAACACCATGTAAGGTGTAAGAACCTGTTGATCCAGAGGCCCTGGCAATTCAATCTCCTACCAGAAAGCACAAGAAATATTGGCGGAATAAAAGTAGATGCATTTAAGAATAAATTTGACATGTTCCTGCAAGAAGTGGCCGACCAACCGGGTTGTAGTGGATCTGTAGAGGTGCAGCCCGCTCCAAGCAATAGCCTGTTGGAACAAGTTATCACAAGTCAAGCTTGGTCCGAGGCTGGGTTGGTGAGGTGAGCAGAGCTCCCAGTACTGTAGGCAGGTGTGCCTACAGTGTATAGGTATAGTCCATAATTATATCTCTAGGTATAGTCTAGGTTCATCGCCAACTATCGAGTCATTTACCCGAGATAAATGTGTGTTCTCCGGTGAGACTTCTACTCCACCAACGGTGTAATGCGAGTGTTTTAAGGTAGCAGAGTGTAAAATAAAGCTAATGTTAAGTGCCACCTGGCGGCTCCACCTCAATATGTACTACAGTGGTCCATAGTGACCCGGACTGGACAAGAAATTTTTTTAATTTAATGCCCCGGACTGGACACGTTAGTGCCAAACTGCCCAGCGAGGGAGTCCCTCCACTACAGCACCTTCACTCTCTCATGTTACTCAACACTGCAGCCCGTCTTCTGGTCCTGGTAGTACTTATAGCAAGGATCACCACCGCAGTACATATACCAACCTACAATGCAATTAGCAAGTACAAATTGGTACTGTTGAATTTGGACAAACCGGAAAAAGATTTTCTAGTTTTGCAAAGACAAAGTAAACTAACGTCACCTAACCTTCCTACAAGTAATACACACTAGTTGAGGCCTAATATAGTACATGTGTGCGCTATACTACGCTTAGGGATATTTAAGTTAACTTTTTAGTTTCATTTTTTCGGAGAATATCAAGTGAATAGTACAAAGTTCTATGTAATTGCTTAGTGTGTCAGTGTTTGTACTATGGTGCATTTAGTTACAAATCTATAGAGGAGGAAGGGTTGGACCATTGTGCCTGGTGCAAGATTCCCTTTGGGTTGAATCATGCACACAGAGGCATAAGGCTTCTTGTCGAGGACTGGCCTTGGCTCAGGTAGCGCCTGTAATCTGGACAGCTTCCTGCAGTGTGGTGTGACATGTGGTGGGGAACTGATGGTCAACATCCGGTGCCTGTACGGGAGTCGGGACACACGCGGCCAAGGCCACAGTACTAACGTGGCTAAGAGTCCCCCACACCAGGTCAAGGTGGATGGCCACACAACTCTCCGTGATACATGTTGTGTCCACCTTCATGTCGGCACCCTAACTCACCCTCATGGCCAGTGGTATTGTATAGAGGTGAGACAAGTGTTGAGGTGTAGTGTGAGGGCCACACTAGCCTCACACACACACATGAGGGCTCGGGGGGTGGGAGGGGGTGGGAGTGTGAGGAGGGATGGCAGTGTGAGGGGGGGATGGCAATGTGAGGGGGGGGGGTGGGATGACAGCCCTCACTCCTCTCCCCTGTGAACCCTGCAATAGCCTAGGGCGAGCCACCACGGAAAATCTATTGGCGACTCAGGGTCTGGGTCAAACATGGTTCCGGTTAACTCATTATAGCCCCCCCCCCGTAAACTAATTTACATATGCACTTGTGCTGAACAACATGACGTAAACTTTATGTTCTGTGATGTATTGAGACATGTGTTAGTGCTGTTTAACCCCATAAACACACTTTACAACACCCACTATATACAACCCCCCCCCCCACTCACTACACAACCTCCAAACCCAATTCCCACCACAAAACACCTCATAACTCAAAAGCCCAATAATCCAGCCGCCGCTACACACCAGGGCGGCGTGTAGCGGCGTGTGGCGGCGGCACAGCTGACGTCTGCGGAATTTCCTAACGCATGGTGTGGCGGGTTGCGGCAGTGTTGCTTCATGATGCAGGCGGCGCCGCCTGGCACAGTACACACCTGCCAACACTGCTTCCTCCACACACCTGCACCAGCCACTCCTCCCTCCACACGCTGGTGCCGACACACCTGCGTCAGTTAACCTCGGCACCCGACACACCCGTCGCCACGAGAGGCACTCCCAACCCTGCTGCTCTACTCACACTTGACACAATCGCCTCCTCTATACACACAAGAGTAATGTCTGACGAGTGTTGTATTGACACACACACACACACACACACACACACACACACACACACACACACACACACACACACACACACACACACACACACACACACACACACACACACACACGCCGGGTCAGCCCCAGTGTCCTCAAGACGCACTGCAGCACTCTGAAGGGTTTAAGATATAACACTTGTACACACTGTGTCTCAGTGTAATTAAACAACTGGCGGCACTCTACTCTGACGGAACAACCTCCACTACAACTACCTACCAGTACGCAAAAATACTGAACGAGGAATTTTTGTGTGAATCAAAGTATGCTCTTCCAGCACTTTAAAACGTCTCCTACAAGACAAAGCGCCTCAATAACCATTATAAATAACCTGCTCTCGTTACCTTGTGTGTGGACACCATCTCGCACAAACGTATCCGTGATGATGACATAAACATCTGCTACATTAGCATGTGGCAAACACTCGGGTCCGATAGCTGCGGAAATACACCCCACAACGGCCTCAACGCTTTAGTACAAGGAGTTATAAGTGTGTAGCTGCGACACCCATACAGAGGGCTGGAGCAGAAGTGGAGCAGTGCGTGCCAGGCACTAACTGCCAGGATCACGTTGGCCTCAGTCACCTGTGGCAGGTGACAAGTCTCCCAATACTGAGCACGTCATGTGTGTGTGTGTGTGTGTGTGTGTGTGTGTGTGTGTGTGTGTGTGTGTGTGTGTGTGTGTGTGTGTGTGTGTGTAAATGTTGACAGCATGAAGTGGTTGATGGGGTTGTGGGAGTTGTTCTACTCCCCCGAGCACGGCCCGAGGCCAGGCCTGAGCTGCGTCATGACCTCACCTGTTGCATCACAGACACTCCGGCCATTACAGTCTGCAACATCTGCCGGAATGAGTTACTTTTCCTTTTCCATACCGTTCAATAATTCCCAGAC